TTGACGATATTAATTCTTCCTAGCCATGAGCATGGGATGAGTTTCCATTTATTAGTGTCCCCTTTAATTTCTCTTAAGAGTGACTTGTAGTTTTCAGAGTATAAGTCTTTCACTTCCTTGGTTAGGTTTATTCCTAGGTATTTTATTCTTTTTGATGCAATGGTGAATGGAATTGTTTTCCTGATTTCTCTTTCTATTGATTCGTTGTTAGTGTATAGGAAAGCTACAGATTTCTGTGTGTTAATTTTGTATCCTGCAACTTTGCTGTATTCCGATATCAGTTCTAGTAGTTTTGGAGTGGAGTCTTTAGGGTTTTTTATGTACAGTATCATATCATCTGCAAATAGTGACAGTTTAACTTCTTCTTTACCAATCTGGATTCCTTGTATTTCTTTGTTTTGTCTGATTGCCGTGGCTAGGACCTCCAGTACTATGTTAAATAACAGTGGGGAGAGTGGGCATCCCTGTCTGGTTCCCGATCTCAGTGGAAATGCTTTCAGCTTCTCGCTGTTCAGTATAATGCTGGCTGTGGGTTTATCATATATGGCCTTTATTATGTTGAGGTACTTGCCCTCTATTCCCATTTTGCTGAGAGTTTTTATCATGAATGGATGTTGAATTTTGTCAAATGCTTTTTCAGCATCTATGGAGATGATCATGTGGTTTTTGTCTTTCTTTTTGTTGATGTGGTGGATGATGTTGATGGATTTTCGAATGTTGTACCATCCTTGCATCCCTGGGATGAACCCCACTTGGTCATGGTGTATGATCCTTTTGATATACTGTTGAATTCTGTTTGCTAATATTTTATTGAGTATTTTTGCATCTACATTCATCAGGGATATTGGTCTGTAATTTTCTTTTTTGGTGGGGTCTTTGCCTGGTTTTGGTATTAGGGTGATGTTGGCTTCATAGAATGAGTTTGGGAGTATTCCCTCTTCTTCTATTTTGTGGAACACTTTAAGGAGAATGGGTATTATGTCTTCTCTGTGTGTCTGATAAAATTCCGAGGTAAATCCGTCCGGCCCCGGGGTTTTGTTCTTGGGTAGTTTTTTGATTACTGTTTCAATTTCTTTGCTTGTAATTGGTTTGTTTAACTTTTGTGTTTCTTCCTTGGTCAGTCTTGGGAGGTTGTATTTTTCTAGGAAGTTGTCCATTTCTTCTAGGTTTTCCAGCTTGTTGGCATATAGGTTTTCATAGTAGTCTTTAATAATTCTTTGTATTTCTGTGGAGTCTGTCGTGATTTTTCCATTCTCATTTCTGATTATGTTGATTTGTGTTGACTCTCTTTTTCTCTTAATAAGTTGGGCTAGAGGCTTATCTATTTTGTTTATTTTCTCAAAGAACCAGCTCTTGGTTTCGTTGATTTTTGCTATTGTTTTATTCTTCTCAATTTTGTTTATTTCTTCTCTGATCTTTATTATGTCCCTCCTTCTGCTGACTTTAGGCCTCATTTGTTCTTCTTTTTCCAGTTTTAATAATTGTGATGTTAGACTATTCATTTGGGATTGTTCTTCCTTCTTCAAGTGTGCCTGGATTGCTATATACTTTCCTCTTAAGACTGCTTTCGCTGCATCCCACAGAAGTTGGGGCTTAGTGTTGTTGTTGTCATTTGTTTCTATATATTCCTTGATCTCTATTTTGATTTGTTCATTGATCCATTGATTATTTAGTAGCATGTTGTTAAGCCTCCATGTGTTTGTGAGCCTTTTTGTTTTCTTTGTAGAATTTATTTCTACTTTCATACCTTTGTGGTCTGAAAAATTGGTTGGTAGAATTTCAATATTGTGGAATTTACTGAGGCTCTTTTTGTGAGCTAGTATGTGGTCTATTCTGGAGAATGTTCCATGTGCACTTGAGAAGAATGTATATCCTGTTGCTTTTGGATGTAAAGTTCTATAGATGTCTATTAGGTCCATCTGTTCTAGTGTGTTGTTCAGTGCCTGTGTGTCTTTACTTATTTTCTGCCCGGTGGATCTATCCTTTGGGGTGAGTGGTGTGTTGAAGTCTCCTACAATGAATGCATTGCAGTCTATTTCCCTCTTTAGTTCTGTTAGTATTTGCTTCACATATGCTGGTGCTCCTGTATTGGGTGCATATATATTTAGAATGGTTATATCCTCTTGTTGGACTGAGCCCTTTATCATTATGTAGTGGCCTTCTTTATCTCTTGTTACTTTCTTTGTTTTGAAGTCTATTTTGTCTGATATTAGTACTGCAACCCCTGCTTTCTTCTCACTGTTGTTTGCCTGAAATATGTTTTTCCATCCCTTGACTTTTAGTCTATGCTTATCTTTGGGTTTAAGGTGAGTTTCTTGTAAGCAGCATATAGATGGGTCTTGCTTTTTTATCCATTCTATTACTCTATGTCTTTTGATTGGTGCATTAAGTCCATTTACATTTAGGGTGACTATTGAGAGATATGTACTTATTGCCATTGCAGGCTTTAGATTCGTGGTTACCAAAGGTTCAAGGTTAGCTTCTTTAGTATCTTACTGCCTAACTTAGCTCGCTTATTGAGCTGTTATATACACTGTCTGGAGATTCTTTTCTTCTCTCCCTTCTTATTCCTCCTCCTCCATTCTTCATATGTTGTGTGTTTTGTTCTGTGCTCTTTTTAGGGGTGCTCCCATCTAGAGCAGTCCCTGTAGGATGCCCTGTAGAGGTGGTTTGTGGGAAGCAAATTCCCTCAGCTTTTGCTTGTCTGGGAATTGTTTAATCCCGCCATCATATTTAAATGATAGTCGTGCTGGATACAGTATCCTTGGTTCAAGGCCCTTCTGTTTCATTGCATTAAATATATCATGCCATTCTCTTCTGGCCTGTAGGGTTTCTGTCGAGAAGTCTGATGTTAGCCTGATGGGTTTTCCTTTATAGGTGACCTTTTTCTCTCTAGCTGCCTTTAAAACTCTTTCCTTGTCCTTGATCCTTGCCATTTTAATTACTATGTGTCTTGGTGTTGTTCTCCTTGGATCCTTTCTGTTGGGGGTTCTGTGTAATTCCATGGTCTGTTCGATTATTTCCTCCCCCAGTTTGGGGAAGTTTTCAGCAATTATTTCTTCAAAGAGACTTTCTATCCCTTTTCCTCTTTCTTCTTCTTCTGGTATCCCTATAATACGAATATTATTCCTTTTGGCTTGGTCACATAGTTCTCTTAGTGTTGTTTCATTCCTGGAGATCCTTTTATCTCTCTCTATGTCAGCTTCTATATGTTCCTGTTCTCTGGTTTCTATTCCTTCAATGGCCTCTTGCATCTTATCCATGCTGCTTATAAATCCTTCCAGGGATTGTTTCACTTCTGTGATCTCCTTCCTTGCATCTGTGATCTCCCTCCGGACTTCATCCCATTGCTCTTGCATTTTTCTCTGCATCTCATACAATTGCTCTTGCATTTTTCTCTGCATCTCTGTCAGCATGTTCATGATTTTTATTTTGAATTCTTTTTCAGGAGGACTGGTTAGGTCTGTCTCCTCAGGTGTTGTCTCTGTGATCTTTGTCTGCCTGTAGTTTTGCCTTTTCATGGTGTTAGAGATAGTTTGCCGAGCTGGTACGAGTGACAGCTGGAAGAGCTTTCCTTCTTGTTGGTTTGTGGCCTTCCTCTCCTGGGAGAATAGCGACCTGTAGTGGCTTATGCTTTTCAGCTGTGCGCAGACAGGGCTTCTGCTACCTGCCCGTTTGCTATGGAGTTTATCTCCGCTGTTGCTGTGGGCCTGGCCTGGCTGGGGCTGCTTCTCCAAAATGGTGGAGCCCTGTTGGATGGGGAGTGGCCAGGAGGCTATTTATCTCTGTAATGGGCCTCTGTGCTCCCTGTTGCCCAGGGGTAGAGTGCCCAGAGATCCCCAGATTCCCTGCCTCTGGGCTAAGTTTCCTGTCCTGCCCCTTTAAAACTTGCAAAAAGCACTCTCTCGCTGCCCTGTTTCCCTAGTATTGGGGTCCCTGTCCGTTTAAGGCTTCCAAAGAGCACTCACCAAAAAAAAAAGGGAAAAACCCGCGATTTTCTTTGTCCTCAGGCTCCGGTCTCAGGCACCCGCTCACCGGTCTTGCTGCCCTGTTTCCCTAGTATTGGGGTCCCTTTCCCTTTAAGGCTTCCAAAAAGCACTCGCCAAAAAAAAAAGGGAAAAACGCATGATTTTCTTTGTCCTCAGGCGCCGGTCTCAGGCACCCGCTCACCAGTCTTGCTGCCGTTCTTCCCTAGTATTGGGGTCCCTGTCCCTTTAAGGCTTCCAAAAAGCACTCGCCAAAAAAAAGGGAAAAACACGCGATTTTCTTTGTCCTCAGGCGCTGGTCTCAGGCACCCGCTCACCGGCCTTACTGCCCTGTTTCCCTGGTATTGGGGTCCCTGTCCCTTTAAGGCTTCCAAAAAGCACTCACCAAAAAAAAAGAAAAAAACCACTCCAGTTTCTTTCCACCCGCCAGGATCTGGGGGGAGGGGTGCTCGGGTCCTGCCGGGCCGGGGCTTGTATCTTACCTCCTTCGCGAGGCGCTGGGTTCTCGCAGGTGTGGATGTGGTCTAGATGTTGTAATGTGTCCTCTGGTCTCTATTTTAGGATGCTGTCTTTGTTATATTTTCATAATTCTATGTGGTTTTGGGAGGAGAGTTCCTCTGCTCTACTCACGCCGACATCTTGGCTCCGCCCCCTGTCACATATTTTTAAATATTGTTTTTATAACCCTTTAAGAATGTAAAAATCTTACATTGTTAGCTAAATTTGTCTTTCCCGAATAAGTAGCACCCAAAGGTTATAGTTTGCTGGTCCATGGATTATAGTCAGTGAATTATGTGTGACTGTACTTTTCTTTGACTTGTCAGTGATGCTTTATTGTGTAAAATTAGTAACTATTTCAGTTACTCAGTAACTGTTGTTACCTGAGTAGTAGTAGTTTTATTAAGGAGATAATATATTTATTTTTAAGGTACTCTCAATAGTATTGTTTTACACTTCTCAGTATGGAAATTACTTTTACATTTCTGAAAATTTTTTTTTTTCCGTGGATTCAAGTTGAGTCAGCAGATATTAGAGTTATTTGAAGCATGTCAGCAGCAAGTAAGTGATTTAAAGAAGAAAGAACGCTGTCGAACACAGCTGCAGAGAGAAATTCAGCTGTTATTTCCACGTATGTTTCCCTGTTTTGCATGCCCTTTATGTATATCCATTGCTATTTTAAATTTTATGTAGTACCTTATCATTCTCTCTGTTTCTCTAGGAAGCAGACTTTTTTTGGTTGGGTCTTCCTTAAATGGATTTGGTACCCGGAGCAGTGATGGTGATTTATGTCTGGTTGTTAAAGAGGAACCAGTAAGTAATGAAACATTTAATTCCCTCTGTGTTTCTCCTGTTAAATCATTAAAAAAAATTCATAGAAAAGTCATTGAGGAAAAGAACTTGTTTTAATTATTCCTTTGGAGTCTTTGTTTATAGTAATTCAAGGAAAAACAAGAAATGTTTCTTTTTCTTTTAAGGCATGTACACAGTAACCATCATGGAATTTAGCATTAATGTATTTCTGATTTGTTAAAGTGAGATGGCTTCACTGTGTTTTTAAAGAGCTGTGCCTCTGTTTTGGAATGTCATTGCACTGGATATGTAACCAGAATGCAGCAAAGAAGAACATGTGTCAGTATTATATTCTTGATACATTTCCTTTCCATTGGAATTCTCAATGATTCTATTTTTAATTTTGTTTTTTTTTCTCCTTGAAAATGCTTTGCATTTTAGAGTTCTTATTTGGAGAATACAAGAGAGAAATTTCACTGAAATTTAAAATGATCCTATTGTGATTTAATAATTTTTTCTGATATTCTGGCTTTATTTCTCTTTTTTTATTTAGCAACCAAGTTTTGTTATTTAGTATTATGTTCATTTGAATTTCTTGTTAGCCAAAATGCTCTTGGGTATCCTTAATACCACAACAGTTGGTGTTCATAAAACTGACCTGATGCAGTCTGTTGAATATGCTGAGGTCTCTTAAATTAATTTCAGTATAATTTAAAAATGCCTTACTATAGCCTACCTTTTTAAGAATACAAGAAAAGTCTGTTGAATGGTAATACATATTTTTACTATCTGTACCTGTTGCTTCACTCACAAAATTGGCTTCCAGTTACTGCAAATCAGGAAGACATTCTAGGAAAGAAACTCTGGTATTTTTCTAGGCTTTGAAATCATATAAAGGAAAAGTAGAAACACAAAAACAGAACCTTAGAAATAATAAACATAGTAGAGAATACTAGAGTTGTAATGAAAACTTTCAGGAAGTTAAAGACTGCACTCAGGTACATACTACTTACCTCCAGTCATGTTCGCATGTCTGAATCATGTTGTCACACCTTATACAGAGACACCGTAGATTTGAACCTTATCTTTCAGCAGATGACAATTGAGATAAGGAAGTAAAACATGTTACAGAAAGTTAAAATTCTGTTCATTTTTCTTGAAAAAGATTCCTTTTTGTATGTTTATACTAAGGGGGAAAATTACATAAATGGCTGTTACAATATTTCTTTTAAAATTGTGTTTCAAATTTAAAATCAGGAACAGAGTTAGAAATGGTGATTTGAAAGACAGCCTAAAAGTTGATAATTTTTTTCCTATAATGTAATTTAGCATATATTGAAAAATAGCTCCAAAGAAAAGTATACTTTGTATGTTTTCTCTTTGTTGAGATACATTAAGAAAGTAAACTAAATTTCGAAAAATAATGAAAAGAAAACACCTTATTTTTAACTTTTCAGTGTTCTTTTTCAGGTAAATCAGAAGACTGAAGCATGGCATATACTCACCTTAGTCCATAAACACTTCTGTACTAGACTTTGTAAGTCTGATATGCCTCAAGTTTATACGTCATCTGACAAAACTATTTAAAATGTCGCTTACTTTATGTATTTTCTAGTAAGAATTGTCTGTTTTCTGGTCAGGATAGATACAAAGAATTTTATTTTCAGATAAATTCCTTTTAATTCTTGTTTAAAAATAAGAGTAACCTTTTATGAATAATTCTTTATTGAGTTTGCTTACAAGATATCCCACTGAATGCACTGGGGAATTCAAAGATAAATAAACTTCAGTTCTTTTTCTCAAAAGATTATATATAGACTATTAAGGCATGAGTATAAATAACTGTAGCACAAAGGATCCAAGAAAAGCCAAAAGAGTGATACAGATGAAGTCTTGCAGGTGTTCATGTAAGGCGGAGAGAATTTCATCTGTTTTGCCTTGAGGTGTGATTTATGACATCAAATTTTAAAAATACGGTCACTGAACATGAAGCCCAAATGAATTACTACAACAGAAAGCAAAATTGTTGACTTAGGCCATTTTATTGTAAGATTTTATTGTTTGAGTAAGATAACTAAGCAGATTTTAATCCACATGGTAAGCCATCTCAATTTATTTCAAACTTTCACAAAGTATTGTAAACAGTTGAAGTCACATAACTGTGTGATGTTGGAAAGACATTTGTCCATTACTTAACAAGGATTACTTAATGTGTCATGCTTTGAGCTGGAAAATACAAAGTCAAGTAATAAGTTACTGCCCTTGAAAAAATATCTATTGTAGAAGAGAAATAAATCAAGCAATTAATATCAATGGACTTTTTTTCACATCTGTAAAATTAAGTAATTTGTACCTTAAAGGCTTTTTAGTAGCTATTACTAGAATGAAAAATACTAAAAATGGAAGAGACCTAGAGATCATCTAACTCAAATGAAAGTGTTTTTTTATTGTTTTTTAAGTAAACTGGTGATCAATGGTTTTAGTAACTTGCTTGAGGAATATAGTTTGTTGGTGTTAGAACTTGTACTTGGAACTCAAGTTTTAACTCTAAATCTTATTTTTCGTTAAACCTCACTGAATTCCTGCACTTGAATTGTACTGGAGGCTTGATGTATTCTGTGATTTTGTTGGTAAAAGCATTGTAACTGAACATTTTTAGTATTTTCCTAATTTTTTACAATCAGTGTGTATTGCTTTAAACTCAGAAAAAAATTTCTTCAAATTTGAGGGAATAAAAAATATGTATATGTGTGTGTTCTTCCTGTTAGAGATCATACTTATTGGAATGCATCAGAGCCCCATTTATCATGTTGCAAGCTTTTCCACACTTAAGATTCTTTGTAAATATATCTATGGCTGCCATAATGTCTTGCCATGTGCTGTACTGAAAAAGCTGTCTGCCTGCTGCTAGCCTAGTTTTCCTGTTTATTTGCTGTGATGAACTTCCTCATAAATGTTATTAGATATTAGACCACATTTTTGAAAATAATTTTAATAAAGCCCTCTGAATGGTATTGGAAGTTCTAGTCTTAGATTTCGATACGTCCCTTCTTTGCTTTCTTCCTCAAAAACTGTGTTTTCTTAAAATGTCTTAGCTTAGTAAAATACTTCTTTTAAAATATGTGCATTGGAACTATGGATTTGTGGAATGTTCACAGATATTTACATTATCTTATATCCTTCAGCTGGCTACATTGAGAGACCTCAGCTGATTCGAGCAAAAGTGCCAATTGTGAAGTTCAGGGATAAAGTCAGGTAGGCAATTACCGAATTCCCTTTTTTCAGTTGCTTTAGATGGTTTTTAGATATTCTTTGGATGTAATTAAGAAATGTATGCTATAGCTTAATAACTTCATCAATTTTTAGATACCACTTTTAGAAATTACCTATTATAATTTGGCCTTTGAAATTATTTCTTAAACTAGTTGGAGCTGTTCTTCATGCTTAACTGTACTTATTCTGCTTGACATTATGAGTGTTTGAGACTGTCCAGTTTAAGAATATATGTATATTTACATTTCAGATTTTTAAATCTCTTACCTTTTGGAAATGTAATATACTCTTAAGAACATATCTTAATTGATGAAATTTAATGTATATTTATATCAAGGTGATTATAAAATACATCTATATAGTCTACCAGCCTGGATTCTGAATTATTACGGGCATTTGAATTAGGGTCTTTTATATATCATGAATGTAAAATGTTAATAAATATTTATTTCATTGTTTAAAAAGATTTTTTGTTTTCTAAAAAATAAATAGGATTATGATAAATCAGGGTTTTCTGGCCCAGATTTATAAAAGTGATACTGAAATTGTTATATGAATGTAAGGGTAAGTGTATATGCACAATTGATCTTCATTATTCACGGATTCTGTACTTATGAATTTGCCTAGTTGATGAAATTTATTTTTTAACCTTCCCGGATGAACACTTCCAGCACTTTCATGGTCATCAGTAGACACACGGAAAGTGGGGAACATTTTGAGTCACCTCATACACTCTATTCCCAGCTGAGGTTAAGCAGTGTGTAAATACATAATACATCTTTTATCAAGTAAATAATGGTAGGGTTTTCTAAAGCACAAAGCTATGGGGGGATAAAACAAACCAAATATAAAAAAAACTGTTAGCTAATTGTGATTTTAAAAATACATGGTTTTAGTTATATAAACAACTTTATCCTCTTTCTGTTTAAGATATTATGCAAGCTTTTTTCATGGTCAGGTGTTCTTTAAAAATAGCATTTTTTTTTTTTGAGAGGGCATCTCTCATATTTATTGATCCAATGGTTGTTAACTATAAAATTCTGTATAGGGGGGTCAATGCTCAATGCACAATCATTAATCCATCTCAAGCCTAATTCTCGTCAGTCTCCAATCTTCTGAAGCATAACGAACAAGTTCTTACATGTTGAACGAATTCTTACATAGTGAATAAATTCTTACATGGTGAACAGTACAAGGGCAGTCATCACAGAAGCTTTTGGTTTTGATCACACATTATGAACTATAAATAATCAGGTCAAATATGAATATTCATTTGATTTTTATACTTGATTTATATGTAGATCCCACATTTCTCCCTTTATTATTATTATTATTATTTTTATAAAAATAGCATTTTATAGTTTTTCTCTATACAAGCCATTAAAAAAAACTCCACTTCTAACATTTAAAGATAACTGATGTTAACATTTTGGTGTAAACTTTTCAATCCCTTTTCTATGCATATGAATGCATACAAGTTTTTAAATTAAACTTGAAATCATACTTTTTTAATTAACCATATATCATGGACACTTCCTGATATCATTGAATATTTTCTGGCTTTGTGTTTAATAGTTCTGTAGTATTTCTTTGAATGTGTCATCATTAACTTATCCATTCCTCTGTTAGAAGTAGCATTTTATGCATAAAATTCTTTCCATGCTAAGGATTTCTTTAGTATTTGCAAAAGTAGAATATGAAACAAGTAGTATGTATATTTTTAAAGCTCTGAATTCTTATTTTTAGAAAAGTTTTTGATTATAGACTAGTTTCCATCTACATGTTTTTTTCCCTCTCTTTAAAGTTATACAGAGGAAGTACAGACTGGTTTCAATGTTAGATTTGCACAACATAATTAAAGAATGTCGCTCCATCATTACCATAGTTTCCCAAAGCCAAATATATAATCTCTGAAGTGTTAATATCACTATCCATTTTTATCATTGTGCATGGATAATTGAAAGATTATAGGTGTTCTTTCCCCCAAACAAGAAAAATATGGAATGGTTAATTTAAAGTTTTATTATTAAAAGCTCTGGAAAGGAATTTTGTTAACATTTTATTTTAGGCATTCTTTTAATTGAAAAACTCATTGTTAAGAAGTTGGTCCTGGAATTTTATATAGAAAGGAATTAAAAAATTTTAAATTTCTTTTATTAAGGATAATTAGAACTTTAACAGTATATTATGGGTCTTTCAACCATAATTCTATTTTGTATTTTTAATTTACTAAGTCATATGAAAATGATATACTTATTCCTTTAGTGCCTCATTTTAAGGCCTTTGGGCCCATGCTATTCTTGTATTATTGGATGAATGGATATTAATTTAGTTACTATAGGGAGTTAGCTGAATTTATACTCGAGCTAAAGTGTGTTTTTCTTTCAATAGTTGTGTGGAGTTTGACTTGAATGTAAACAATATTGTTGGAATAAGAAATACATTCCTTCTCAGAACTTATGCATACCGTGAGTTTTTTATTTCCAAATAGTTTTTGTCTTCTGTATTTATCCTTCATTCTGTATTCCTTTTTAAAGATGTTTGTAGTAAATCTTGACCTCTCTTTAGTTGTGTCATTATGTTTATATATCATGTCTCATTATATGCATAATAAGTTGCTCTGCTAGTCATACATATACTGCCAGAGTTACAGGTCAATAAAATGAATGTTAATAGTTGGTAATTTTTAAAAGGTAACTAAAGTATGTTTTAGATGTAAGACACATTTATAGTAAACACAGTGTTTAGTACAGAGGGTGTTAGTGCTCTACTTATTGGCATAGAGTTAGTTAATGATGTAAACTTTCAAAGAAATGTAAAATCTTACCATTTTTAAGTTTTAATTTTACTTTCAGTTGAAAATCGAGTTCGTCCATTAGTACTGGTGATTAAGAAGTGGGCGAATCACCATGAGATAAATGATGCCAGTCGTGGTACTTTAAGCAGCTATAGTCTTGTACTGATGGTTTTGCACTATTTACAAAGTAAGTATTACAGGATTTTCCCAATTGTTAAAATGGAAAGACAGTTAAACTTCATTATTGTGTCTTCCCTGTTGACTCTGTTTAAAGTAGCATTTAATAAGTTCTTTCTAAGGCCGATAAAAAACCATATTTCCTATTTTGTTGCTATGAACACATGTTTTAGAAATGTTATCCCCTGGAAAACATTATAAAGAAGTTTCACTGTATTTTTATTTTTTTGCGTTGTCTATATTCACTTTTGTATTCAAAGAACATTCATCACAGTATCGTGGACCTATTAAGTTGAGGCAGGTGAATGTTCAGAAGGCCTATAAAAATAAGGTCAAGCACCATTCATCATGTTTTTTATTTTTCACTTGAGACAGGAATTATATGATTTTCTTGTTGGTCAAAGAAGCTTTTATTCCATGTGAGCTGGCATGGAGATTGGGTGAAAGACTTGATGTTCATGTAATAGAAGATCATACATAAGGATGTCTAGTGTCTGGTCTGTTCTGGGTTAATGATATTTCCACAGTTTAGAAAGCAGTATTGTAATATTTATGTTCATACCCTCTGACTCAATTCCATTTCTAGGTATTTATCCTAAGATAATAATTAGTGATGCATACATAGATTTATACATAAGGCTCTTTTTCTCGTGTTTGTTGAAATAATAAAAGACCAGAAATAATTAAGTTTATAAGAGTGGGGGGATGATTAATTAGAATACATCTTAGTATGAAATTTATGCAGCCACTAAAAATCATATTTTCAGGATTTAATAAAATATTCATATATGTAGGTCATATATAACATGATACCAACTTCATTTTTAAAATAGTAGCTTTTTGGATTTTGTGTATATAATTCATATGTACATACATATTGAGAAGGTATGTGCCAAAAATTTATCAATGGTTAATTATGGACAGTAGAATTTTTCTTTATATGTTACTATACTTGTAGATGTTTTATAATATGTATTAAATAAGAGTGTATTTCTGTTTGAATGATGAAATAAGAAGAATTTTTTTGAGTTTAGTGAGAGAGACTTATACTAGTTAAATGGGCCAAAGTTTTATGAATTAGTCATCAGAAAGGTTAGTCTTCCTCTTTGTTGTTAAAAAATTTCCAGCTAATTATAATACACGTATTTTTGTTGCTGACCAGTTTGTATGTACACTAGTTTGATGATTGATTTGGCCCTCCAAAAGGATTTGAAACATAATGTTGGCTATTTTAGATAATGCTTTATGTATCACTAATCATTTTTTGTCCAATTTTGCAGTTCAGTCTGAAACATATATTATTTTTGATGCTTTTTTAGTGGACTCTGTCCTCTTGTGGATTGTAGTTCACATTTATTAAAAATTGAATAGATTAAAAATATTTCTTTGAAAAATAATATGGCATTCATGTACCACCACATAGTGTCTATTCAATTTTAAGTTGTAGTTGTGACTTAAGAATTAGATTTGACTAAAGCACTTAACACATATGAACATCCATAATATGTGCCCTTTGCCTCCATTCTTATGGGTTACATTAGAAATTTTAATTTGATTGCCTTCTTTAGAAAAATGTGCTTTAATCACAGATGTCTCAAGGTGGTTTTACAAACAAGCTGAAAATTCAAACAGTATTTTATGAGTGTAATAAAATCATGTTAAATTTTGGTCTAGATTTTGTTAAACATTTTATTCTTGACAAAGTGATCCCATTTATCAGGGTGGTTTGTAGCTAATGGCACTATCATCAACCTATTTGTAGTTCTTTGTTAAAGGGCATCAGCTATCAGAGCTAATGTGTAACTCTGTACTTTGACAAATTTAAGCTACTTTTCCTTAGAACAAATTAGAGAGATTGAAATTAGCTGTTGAATTTTTTGTCATACAAGAGCCTGCAAGGTGTATTGAGCAGTTCCAGCTCAGCCACGGTGAACTAACTAGTGTTTGTGATTTTGGCCAGGTCATTCTGTCTGTTTGGCCTTAATATTCTCATCTATATCAGGAATAGTTGGATTAGATGATCTTTAAGTTTTAACTTCTTAAGTGCTTTAATATCTTTTCAGCTATGAATAGAGAAAGGAAACAGGTCCTCTGTATGTAAAGCATTGAAAAGATTAAAGCATTTCCTAGGATAAATTTCAGCAGTCATCAATAGACTACAATATGCTTAAAAAGGTGACTTAAAAGTGTGAGGGAAAAGCCCATTGAGAAGAGATTTACTGATAATCTAAGACTGAGTTTGGGGCAAAAGTATCAATTGGTTAGAAATAATAATATAAATGAATATTCATAGAATATTTACCATGTAACCAGGTATAAAACTATTTCTTAGGCATTTTTTAATTACTGCATTTTCAAGATAAATGGTTGCATAGTGTTGTTGAAGATCTGTTTTTTTTAAGTTGAAATTTTGATGAATCAGTATGCAGTGTTCATGTGTATAAATTTGTGGGGCCTGACCAACTCTCATTTGACCTGCAGGCAAAGTAAAAATCTTGTATTTTAGGAATGCTCAAGGCATTATCTGTTGATCGGATGCTGCAATAATAAGCTTTATTTTGTCTTATTTTGCTTTTGAGAGAGAAATTTAAAAGATTGAAGTCCAGATTTTTTGAGTAAAAGTAGATGGTATAGTCAGATTCTTCCAGAACATACATTGCTTTGAGTAAAATAAACATCTGAAAGACTACTAGACACATTGAGCTTATCAGGTTAGTGTTAATAAATAACTGCCACAGTATAGTAATTGTTCCTGCAGTGTGGTGACCTTAAAAAAACAAGAGCCAGTTATATAACCAGCAAAATGTCTATTTGGGAAAAGCAGAGGAATTGCAATTTGGGACAAATACGGCAAACCATAGGCAAGGCTGGAGAACAGAGGAAAAGTGTCACTTTTATAGGGGAAAGGTGGGTAGTTGGGAGGGGCCCTTTCACTGAGTTCTCATTGGCTGGGCTGTTGCGGGCAAGGAGAAGTTCTTACTACTTCTTGTTGGGGTTTGTAAAAAGTAAGCTGCTTCTTACTGGGTAATATGAGTTATGCTTCTTTTGGTGAGTGGTAGTGCATGACAGTCTCTTCTTCCAGGCTTCCAACTCCATTTTAAATGAGGTTTCCTTTATTTATTTTCACAAAAAAAGATTTTTGAATCTTTAAGGTTGTCACATAAGGGATTTACTAAGTGATATCCCTGCCCCCTACAGCTTCCAAATTGATTCGTTCTAAAGACTCCTGGCAATTAATTCTAAGACTCTAAACTAGTGTTTAGTATTTGTTTTGCTCTCTTAGCATTCTAGTTATATTTCTAGAATGGGGTAAATTTTGTTTTTAATTCTCTGTAACCTTTTCTTTGTTCTTTTTTAAAGTATATTTTACTAGGAGTATTCAGTGGGAAAGGGACTCAGGTTTTTAATTAACTAAGTAAGTTCTAGTAAGATTTTCCAATATGACTTCTATATTTTAACAAAAATAATTAGAAAGTCATTAAAAATATAGAGACTTTTAGAATTAAAGTGACTGGGGCTTGAATTTATTGGTAGAGTCTTCCAGAATTTTGATAATTTGAATGTCCATGGGAAAAAGTATGTATCCATCCTACTTCCTAAGAGTCATTCTGGTAAGTAACAAGTGAGTTTTTCCCCTAATATTTTCAGTCATATTCTGTGAGTATTCTAGACTTTCATGGAATTTTTTTTTCTAATTTCAGTTGGCAAATGAAACAATACAGAAGGGAAATTGAAATATTATGTGATAGAAATTTATACATATATAATAATAGTTAGAGATCATGTAAGTTGGTCATAATCGTAGATTATATGTACATTAATGTAGTCCAGAAGTCATTTAAAAAAGTTTTGCAAAATAGGAAACTAAAAGTGAATTAAAGATTGTTGCTGATTTTATATATGATGTATTTCTAATTCTTAAATACATACTTTGTCATATGGCACTATATTTGGTCTTTAATATTAAATCTTGAAAATGCATTTGTATCTTATGATACTTAAGACATTATATCTTACAGTTATTTCTTATATTGTGAATATTAGGCACTTTGCCTTTTGTGGTATTCTATTTACATTATAATGTAAAATTAATATTACTGCATTTAATTAGGTTTTATTTAGGTTAAGTTACTGAAGAGTGAAGAATGACAAAAAATATAGTAATGTAGGAAGATAATGATTCCTTTGTATGAAATTTTATTTTATAGCAGATTGGTGAAAATCTTTTGATTTGGTTTCTAACCTTTGCAGAGGCCTTCTTTTTAAAAATTAATTAAGTTGAAAATTTATTTTTCCGGTTTTTCTTTTCAATAAATCAGTTTTCCAAAGCTGTCTCACCTTTGGTGTTTTTTTTGTTTTAAGAGGAATTAAGTAATAAGGACAGTTAGGATACAGCTGTTGTTCTTTCATGATGTAGTATCATTGGACCATACTTAAAAATTTTTTTGATAGTTAAATCCATCTTAACAATGTCCATTCTTTATCTATAGAACAATCCTTGTCTTTCTTATTTTGTGTGTGAGTCTGATGTTCAACCAATTGATGTGTGTCCATTTATTGATGGCCTGTTTCGAAACCATGTAAAGAACATTGGTTTACATAGAAATATACATAGTTTATTAACAAATCTTAAATTGTCAGCTTAGGTATCTTATGAATTAAAATTTTTAGTGATCAGAATTAATTTCACAAAATATAAGGCAATTGTTGAATTTTAGCAGAAACCCTTTTAGTCTCATACCTGGGGTAGAGCTGACAAATTATTGCTTTGTAAAATGAATTATGTGAATCACAGAAGCTTTAAACTTTTTCTTTTTATAGCCCTACCTGAACCCATCCTTCCATCCATCCAAAAAATGTACCCAGTAAGTGTTTCTTATAAATTATTATAATACATATTATGACAAGTATATGTGGAACTATTATATGCAGTATTAATGTAAATATAAAAGTAGTAGTAGTAACCTTCTAAGTATATGATAACATTTCTATATAAGCTGAGGCATTGACCACTAGAAAATTAAAAATGTTTCATATACTTTTTCAAAAGACTGATACTTTATTTGGTTATTGGCAGACAATCTGGTCATTTATCTTAATGATGTAATTTTTTGCATGGTGCTTATAATTATCACTAATAGAAATTAAATATACTCAGTCAAGGCCAATTCAGACTTATTCCTGTTTTCTTCATGCTATTTTTAAGTCTAGTTTTATAAGATTTCTTTAGTTAGTAACTCAGAAGTTTTTTAGCCCATTGTATATATACTATGAAAGCTTAGGAAAAATTAAGTAGTTGAACAATTGGATAATCATTTTATCTTTCATTCAGTCTTTCCAAATAATACACCACAAACGGTAACATTAGTACACTATCCTTGTCTGCAGAATATTAAGAATCCTGCTGAATTTGAAACATAACAAATGAAGTGTGCCTGCTAGAAAAAGTTAAGCATGTATTCAGTTTGAGTTTAGGGAAAACTTAGGTAATGTACATATTCATAATTATATAAATTCTTTTGTTTCTTTTCCAGTTTTTTGTGTTCCTATTTTCCAGAATTCTCTGTTTTCTTATTTTATACCCCTACCATTTCAGTTTTCCTCCATAGTCATCCTTGTTCCTGGTTTTATTTGGAAATAATATATAAGCTACTTGTTTAGAATGTTTAGCCAACCTTCTGAAACCATATAACTTTTACCTATTAGTTTCATTAACATAAAAGAAGAACTGTTTTCTAAACTTAATAAATGGTCATATTTACAAAGGAAAACGTCTAGCTTGAGTGAACAGTTTCCAAAGAACTTAATTACTTAATATAAAGTAATTAAGTTCTTTGGAAACTGTTGTACTTCACATGGAACCTAAATATAATTGTATGTTTGATAGTTAATAAGAACTGATGGTTTGCTTTTGAACATAATTTATGATTGTAATGCACACGTGTTGTGCTGAATAGTAAAAGGCTCACTGTAATAGTTTTTTTTTTAAGGTGGTAAACTTTATGTTAAGTGTATTTTTGTTAATTTATTTATTTTTACTTTGTTATCACTACTCTACAGTTACATGAGAAACATTATGTTTACTAGACTCCCTCATCAACAAGTTTCCCTCCCATTCCCCATTACAGTCATTGTCCTTCAGCGTAGTAAGATGCTGTAGAATCACTACTTCTCTGTGTTGTACAGCTCTCCCTGTGACCCCCCCACATTATACATGCTAATCATAATGCCCCCTTTCTTTTCTCGCCCCCCCTTATCCTTTCCTTCCCATCCGTCCTCCCCAGTCCTTTTCCCTTTGGTAACTTTTAGTCCATTCTTGGGTTCTGTGAGTCTTCTGGTGTTTTGCTCCTTCAGTTTTTCCTTTGTTTTTATACTCCACATATGAGTGAAATCATTTGATACTTGTCTTTCTCTGCCTGGCTTATTTCACTGAGCATAATATCCTCTAGCTCCATCCATGTTGTTGCAAATGGTAGGATTTGTTTTCTTCTTATGGCTGAATAATATTCCATTGTGTATATGTACCACATCTTCTTTATCCATTCATCTACTGATGGACACTTAAGTTGCTTCCATTTCTTGGCTATTCTGAATAGTACTGCAATAAACATAGGGGTGCATTTGTCTTTTTCAAACTGGGTTGCTGTGTTCTTAGGGTAAATTCCTGGAAGTGGAATCCTGGGTCAAATGGTATTTCTATTTTGAGTTTTTTGAGAAACCTTCATACTGATTTCCATAATGGTTGAACTAGTTTACATTCCCACCAGCAGTGTAGGAGGGTTCCCCTTTCTCCACATCCTCACCAGCATTTGTTGTTGTTTGTCTTTTGGATGGTGGCCATCCTTACTAGTGTGAGGTGATATCTCATTGTGGTTTTAATTTGCATTTCTCTGATGATTAGTGATGTGGAACATCTTTTCATGTGTCTATTGGCCATCTGAATTTCTTCCTTGGAGAGCTGTTTGCTCAGCTTTTCTGCCCATTTTTTAATTGGATTATTTGCTTTCTGTTTGTTGAGGTGCGTGAGCTCTTCATATGTTTTGGATGTCAACCCTTTATTGGATCTATCGTTTATGAATATATTCTCCCATATTGTAGGATGCCTTTTTGCTCTATTGGTGGTGTCCTTTGCTGTACTGAAGCTTTTCTGTGTCCTCTGCTGTACAAAAACCAAAAAGTTTGAGTTTTTATCATGAATGGATGTTGAATTTTGTCGAATGCTTTTTCAGCATCTATGGAGATGATCATGTGGTTTTTGTCCTTCTTTTTGTTGATGTGGTGGAAAAGGTTGATGGATTTTCGAATGTTGTACCATCCTTGCATCCCTGAGATGAATCCCACTTGGTCATGGTGTATGATCCTCCTGATGTATTTTTGAATTCGGTTTGCTAATTTTTTGTTGAGTATTTTTGCGTCTATGTTCATCAGGGATATTGGTCTGTAATTTTCTTTTTTTGTGGTGTCTTTGCCTGGTTTTAGTATTAGAGTGATGGTGGCTTCATAGAATGAGTTTGGAAGTATTCCCTCGTCTTCTATTTTATGGAAAACTTTAAGGAGAAGTGGGTATTATGTCTTCTCTATATGTCTGATAAAATTCAGTGGTGAATCCTTCTGGCCCAGGGGTTTTGTTCTTGGGCAGTTTTTTGATTACTGATTCAATTTCTTTGCAGGTAATTGATCTGTTTAGATTTTCTGTTTCTTCCTTGGTCAGTCTTGGAAGGTTGTATTTTTCTAGGAAGTTGTCCATTTCTTCCAGGTTTTCCAGCTTGTTAGCATATAGATTATCATAGTATTCTCTAATAATATTTGTTTTTCTGTGGGATCCATCATGATTTTTCCTTTCTCATTTCTGATTTTGTTGATGTGTGTTGATTCTCTTTATCTCTTAATAAGTCTGGTTAGGGGCTTATCTATTTTGTTTATTTTCTCAAAGAACCAACTCTTGTGTTCATTGCCTTTTTCTGTTGTTTTTTATTCTTCTCAATTTTATTTATTTTTCTCTGATCTTTATTATGTCCCTCCTGCTGACTTTGGGCCTCATTTGTTCTTCTTTTTTCCAATTTCAATAATTGTGGCTTTAGACATTCATTTGGGATTGTTCTTCCTTCCTTAAATAGGCCTGGATTGCTATATACTTTCCTCTTAGAACTGCCTTCGCTGTGTCCCACTGAAGTTGGGGCTTTGTGCTGTTGTTGTCATTTGTTTCCATATATTGCTTAATTTCTGTTTTAATTTGGTCATTGATCCATTGATTATTTAGGAGCATGTTGTTAAGTGTCCATGTGTTTGTGAGCCTTTTTGCTTTCTTTGTGCAATTTATTTCTAGTTTTATGCCTTTGTGATCTGAGAAGTTGGTTGGTAGAATTTCCATCTTTTTTTAATTTACTGAGGCTCTTTGTGCCCTAGAATGTGGTCTATTCTGGGGAATGTTCCATGTGCATTTGAGAAGAATGTGTATCCTGCTGCTTTTGGGTGTAGAGTTCTGTAGATGTCTATTAGGTCCATCTGTTCTAGTATGTTGTTTAGTGCCTCTTTGTTCTTACTTATTTTCTGTCTGGTGGATCTGTCCTTTGGAGTGAGTGGTGTGTTGAGGTCTCGTAGAACGAATGCCTTGCATTCTAGTTTCTCCATTAGTTCTGTTAGTATTTGTTTCACATGTCAGTGCTCCTGTATTGGGTGCATATATGTTTATAATGGTTATATCCTCTTGTTGGACTGACCTCTTTATCATTATGTAATGTCCTTCTTTATCTCTTGTCACTATCTAACCATCTAACTTAACTCTCTTATTAAGCTATTACAAACACAGTCTGATGATTCTTTATTTCTCTCCCTTCTTATTCCTCCTCCTCCATTCTTTATATGTTAGGTGTTTTATTCTGTACTCCTTTGTGTTTCCTTTGACTGCTTTTGTGAGTGGTTGATTTTATTTTTTGCTTTTAGTTAGTATTTGGTTGGTCTGCTTTCTTTGTTGTGATTTTATTTTCTCTGTTGACATCTATTTAGCCTTAGGAGTGCTTCCATCTAGAGCAGTCCCTTTAAAATATCCTGTGGAGGTGGTTTGTGGGGTGCAAATTCCCTCAACTTTTGCTTGTCTGGGAATTGTTTAATCCCTCCTTCATATTTAAATGATAGTTGTGCTGGGTACAGTATTCTTGGTTCAAGGCCCTTCTGTTTCATTGCATTAAATATATCATGCATTCTCTTGTGGCCTGTAAGGTTTCTGTTGAGAAATCTGATGATAGCCTAATGGGTTTTCCTTCCTAGGTGACCTTTTTTCTCTCTCTGGCTGCCTTTAATACTCTGTCCTTGTCTTTGATCTTTGCCATTTTAATTATTATATGACTTGGTGTTTTCTTCCTTGGGTCCCTTGTGTTGGAAGTTCTATGGGCTTCCATGGTCTGAGAGACTATTTCCTCCCCCATTTTGGGAAGTTTTCAGCATTTATTTCCTCAAAGACAGTTTCTATCCCTTTTTCTCCCTCTTCTTCTGGTACTCCTATAATGTGAATGTTGTTCCATTTGGATTGGTCACACAGTTCTCTTAATATTCTTTCATTCCTGGAGATCCTTTTATCTCTCTCTGCGTTAGCTTGTCTGCTTTCCTGTTCTCTGATTTATATTCCATTAACGGCCTCTTGCACCTCATCCAGTCTGCTCTTAAGTCCTTCCAGAGATTGTTTTATTTCTGTATTCTCCCTCCCAACTTGATCCTTTAGCTCTTGCATATTTCTCTGCAGCTCCATTGGCATGGTTATGACCTTCATTTTGAATTCTTTTTCAGGAAGATTGGTTAAATCTATCTCCCCAGACCCTCTCTCGGGGTTTGTCAGGGTAATTCTGGACTGGACCAAATTCTTCTGCCT